ATGGACAGCATCTCCTGACATGGACAGCATCTCCTGTACATGGACAGCATCTCCTGACATGGACAGCATCTCCTGTACATGGACAGCATCTCCTGTACATAGACAGAATCTCCTGTACATGGACAGCATCTCCTGTACATGGACAGCATCTCCTGACATGGACAGAATCTCCTGACATGGACAACATCTCCTGTACATGGACAGCGTCTCCTGACATGGACAGCATCTCCTGTATATGGACAGCATCTCCTGTACATGGACAGCATCTCCTGTATATGGACAGCATCTCCTGACATGGACAGCATCTCCTGTTCATGGACAGCATCTCCTGACATGGACAGCATCTCTTAATTGCAGATCAACCTGTCACAATATATTGTGATAATAATGTACCAGGATGCAAAAATGAGAAAATGTGCATATTGAATTTTTTTTGCTAAGTTCTTTTTCTTTGTAGAGGAAATTTAATTTTCTTTTCCTTTCTCTCTTTTCCTCTCTGTCTCTCTCTCTCTCTCTTCCCTCCCTCTCTTTCTCTCCAGTGTGGTGGTAATCTAATTGTATTGAAATATTATTTTGATTTGTACTGAAATATTAATTTGATTGTATGTTAATAAATAAAGTTGTCTGGGGGTCAGAGCTATTAGAGCCATAGCAAGAGTGTGGCGGTGGTGGCACACGCCTTTAATCCCATAGATATCTGTGTGTTCAGGGTCAGAGCTATTAGAGCCATAGCAAGAGTGTGGCGGTGGTGGCACACGCCTTTAATCCCATAAGATCTCTGTGTGTTCAGGGATACAGCCAGCATTGGAGACATATGCCTTTAAGACCTAGGGGGCTGTACATTCAGACAGTGACGAGGCAGTCATGTGTTTGGGTTTACAACCAATGAGAAGGCAGAACAACATACTTTAAAAATACGAACCGAGAGGAAGTAGGTCTCTTTTCGCGAAGCTGGGACAGCAGGAGGAAGGGTGAGATTTTAGCTCTGAGCTCTGACCTCTCGGCTTTCTCTTTTACATTGTTTCTGTGTTTCTTATTTAATAAGACGGTTGGTTACATCTACACTCCAGTACTAGGAATCAAATTCAAAGCTCCATTAACACTGGCATAGACATACTTTACCACTGAGCTATATACTGGCCCCAGCTGGTCTTGTTTCATTTTGTTTAGTTTTGTCTTTGGTTTCATTTGTTTGGTTTTTGTTTTTGTTTGTTTGTTTTTGACACAGGACCTCACTATGCAGTCCTGGCTGGTCTGGAACTCTCTATGTGGACCAGGCTGGCCTCAAACTGCTGAAGACCCTGCTGCTTCTGTCTCCTAAGTACTGGGATTATAGGTGTGTGCCACTGTCTGGGCTCATGAGTCCTCTTTTCATGCTCTCTTTATTGTTTTGTGTGTATATGAAAGTTTGCCTGAATGTATGTATATATACCACATGCAAGTCTAGTACTCACAAGAGGTCAAAAGAAGGTTTCAGATCCCCTGGTAGTGGAGTCACCATGTAGGTGCTGGGAACTGAGCCCAGGTCTACAAGAAGAGCAACCAGTGAGCTACCTCTTCCAGTCACATGTGTGTGCATCCATGTACTACAGTGCATGTGAAGAGACCAGAAGACAACTCTCAGGAGCCGGCTCTTCTTCTACCTTGGGTTCTCGAGATCAAACTTGAGTAGCCAATCAGTAAGCACTGTTCCATTTGTGGCTGCTCCCTCATCTGGCCTCCTCTGATGCTCTGGATCAGCCTTTGCATCCTTCTGTCTACTCAAGAGGAAATCAACTGGAAAAGCAAGTGGACAAACACTCGGCAGTCCTGGAGAGCAAGCCTGTGTGAGCTGAGCCTGTGTGAGCTGAGCCTGTGTGAACAAGCCTGTGTGAGCTGAGCCCGTGTGAGCAAGCCTGTGTGAGCTGAGCCCGTGTGAGCTGAGCTGAGCCTGTGTGAGCTGAGCTGAGCCTGTGTGAACTGAGCCCGTGTGAGCTGAGCCCGTGTGAGCTGAGCTGAGCCTGTGTGAACTGAGCCTGTGTGAACTGAACTGAGCCTGTGTGAGCTGAGCCTGTGTGAACTGAGCCTGTGTGAGCTGAGCCTGTGTGAGCTGAGCCTGTGTGAGCTGAGCTGAGCCTGTGTGAGCTGAGCTGAGCCTGTGTGAACTGAGCCTGTGTGAACTGAACTGAGCCTGTGTGAGCTGAGCCTGTGTGAGCTGAGCCTGTGTGAGCTGAGCCTGTGTGAGCTGAGCCTGTGTGAGCTGAGCTGAGCCCGTGTGAGCTGAGCCTGTGTGAGCTGAGCCCGTGTGAGCTGAGCCTGTGTGAGCTGAGCCTGTGGCACAAAAACAAAAAATTGTTCAGTGGGAAGATTCTGTGGCAATTCTTTGTCGGGACGTCCACACATACAAACATTTTGGTCCTGACAGAACTGACAAGAAGAAATGTGATACTTTCACTCAAGAGTAAGGAGGGGCTGGAGAGGTGGCTCAGTGCTTAACCACACTGACTGCTCTTCCAGTGGACCAGGGTTTGATTACCAGGACTCACATGGGGGTTCACAACCATGTAACCCCCGTTCTAGAGGGCCCAATGCCCTCTTCTGATTGGGCACCAGGCATGCAAGTGGTGCACAAACATCCACACAAAAAACCCAGACGCATAAAACATAAGTATATAAGACAGCATGAGCCCAGCCCTGCCTGGGTTGAATGCTTCTGTTTTCCTAGATCAAGATACTCTTGTGCCAGGCGGCGGCGGCGCACGCCTTTAATCCCAGCACTCAAGAGGCAGAGGCAGGCGGATCTCTGTGAGTTTGAGGCCAGCCTGGTCTTCAAAGTGAGTTCCAGGAAAGGTGCAAAGCTACACAGAGAAACCCTGTCTCAAAAAAAAAGATACTCTTGTACAAAACCTGTGTTTCTATTCCCCGAGTCTTCTTTGTTGGCTGTATTTCAACCACAGCTCATTTAACTCCCCACACTGAAAATCTGCTCCTTTGCCCCAGGGCTGGGTTTGGAAAGAACAAAGGCCATGTAGGTCAGACATTATTGCCACAACTGGCTTTTAGATGTCACTGACGGTGGCAAGGAGCCCAGAGAGTCCTTGGCTTCACTGTGGGCTTGTGTGTGGCTGGCTGCAGTGGAGTCTCACCCTCAGCCAACAGAGGAGCCTCCTCTACCTGTGGGGTGCTGGCGACGGCCCTGAGTAAGGCACAGGGGACTCTGGCAGAAGGAATGAGACTGGAAGCCACCCCCACCCCCATACCCCACCCCACCCCCACCCCACCCCCCAGGGCAGGGGCTGACAGAGCAAAGACCCTGTCTGCACTGTCTGGACTTAGTCAAAGTGGCCCTGGATGTGTTTGCTTGTGTCCGGGCTGTGCTGTCCAACTGTGGAGAGTCGGTCAGAAAAGCGCTGGGCTGGACGACACCGTGGGTCCATCTGCTTTTCCTCCATCACATCTCCGTGCTTCTCTAAGCACAGGCTCTCCCATGATTGAAGACAGTCCCAAGAGAGCTGATTCAAGATCAGGAAGCATGAGTGTGGGGGCTTCCTGGCCTCTCTGAGGGAACTCAGACGGCCTCCCCTTCTTTCCTCTCACCCACCCACCTGCCCTAAGGTGAAGACTTTGAGGAAACATGTCCCGTCCTGTTTTATTCCAGCGGTGACAGGGGTCTGTCTGGCCCTCAAATCCAGATAAAACTGCATTATCAAAAGCCTTCCTGAAAGGCTCAGTAGTTAAGAGCAATTGTTGCTCTTTCAGAGGACCTGGGTTTGGTTGTTGGCAGCCACATGGTGGCTCACAACCATCTGTAACTCCAGTTCTCAGAAATCCAACACCCTCTTCTGACCCGCACTGGCACTCCATACGCGGGATGTACATACATACCTTCAGGCACTCGTACACATAAAATAATAAATCTAAACAGTTTAAAAAGAAGACTTTCGTAAATACTTCTGAGGATCCAGGGGAGACGTGGGCTGTTACAGCAGAGCCTGCTAAGTGTAGAACCCCAAGTTACAGTCCAGGGAGCCACCTGCAACTCCCATGTTAATCTTGCCACTGAGAACTCTGCACTGGGACATGTGTGGTGGGTGGGTCATGGATGTCCTCTACCCTGTCCCCTGGGTGCAGATACCGTATCTACACATGAGAGCTAGTAGGGCTGCAACATCATTTTATGACCAAAGGAAAGGATAAAAGGGGTCAAAGTTGTCGTGGAGGTGGCTAAGGACGGCAGATAAAGGCCAGCTCAGGAGGAAAGTGCGTTAAAGTCACTGAAGGGTGTTTCTCACCCAGGGCCATTCCTCTGCTGCCTGCCTGGGTACCTACCATGGCCTCAGACCAACCACACACTACTGAGATGTGAGCTGAGGTCTTGGTTGGCAAGCGGCTGAGTCGGTGACTCTCTCAGCTCAGCCACCGTGACGGCAGAGCGTCCTCTGCCTTCCAATGGGATCAGGAGATGTCACCATCAATCCCTGCCCACCCAGCCCCAGCGCTGACTCCATGGCTCTCTCGCTGGGATCGCTAACCTTGTGGTCACACCTTCACCATGCACATGCCTGCTTCCTCTTCACCCACACACAGCAGCACGTTTTTAATTCCTCTCCAAACAGTCCCCAAACACGGGAGGACTCCAGGAACACTTGAATACAGGGAGAGCAGAGAATACTAGTGTGACTTTTAGAGCCAGTGAACAAAAGTAGCATTTCTGGCAAACTAAAAGGGCAAAGTGGCGTTCTTAACCTAGGGCAGAGTGGTGTGCTGTCCATTGGGCCTGTCTGAACAGATAAGCCATTTGGGAAGCGTGCCAAGCAAAAACTGGACCCACTAACCTCTGGCCCAGTGTTTTCCCATGAGGCCTTTCTCACCTCTGTCATATTAACTTTTGTTTGGATTTGCAGCCTTTCAGGAATTACAACATCGGCTCATTGTTTTCGGGGTTTCACAATCCGCCCTTCCCATGTTCTATGAGACACATGCAATAATTACTTTTTATCTGTCCAAGAATTTAAATTACATTCTCTGTCGTAAACTTCTTGACACCCCTTTGAGATAACTGGAAACACCTGGAGATGTTGCGTAAAGACGTCCAGAAAGGGCCCCTCAAGCCTGGCTGGGCAGAGTTCCTCTGTGTGTGGGCCACTGTTCCCATGTGTAGGATGCTCTGCAGTCAGCTCCAGTGGAACTTAGGGACATGCGGCACAACGGCCCAAGTGACTGAGGAGGCAAAAGCCTACATTTAAACGATCCCCCTAAACCCTGCCTTCACTCAGGCAAATATTTTTTTCACTAATGGTGTCAAATGTTCCTGTTATTTCCTTGTGTAAGCCTTTGCAGTATGACCACTGATTATGTTTACTGACCCCTTGAAACATGGGAAGTCTGGGCTTGGAAGACTTGGTACAAAAAGAAAGAAAATACCTCATTCAATGTAGACGGAATTTTCTCTGGTCCTGCCTGGCCCAGCGGTCTGGACGAATCTCTCCCACCCACGGCCCCATAGCTGCTTATAAAATAATTACTCAGAGGATTATATTAATTACAAACTGTATGGCCTATGGCTTCAGCTTCTTGCTAGCTAGTTCTTTCATTTTAATTAACCCATTCTTATTAATCTATATGTTGCCACGTGGCCACGGCGTTGCCGTCTGCTGGCATCTTGTTCCTTTGGCAGCGGCTGGCATCTCTCTTGACTCCGCCCTCTTTCTCTCTGTGTCTCTGCTTGGATTTCCCACCTGCCTCTAAGCTGCCTTGCCATAGGCCAAACAGCTTTATTTATTATCCGACGGGAGCCGCACATATTCACAGCGTACAGAAAGACATCCCACAGCACTTCCCCTTTTCTGCCTAATCAAGAAGGAAGGTTTTAACTTTAACATAGTAAAATGCCAATGGCGAGGCAGAATAAGGTTAGGCGGTACGTTTGAATGGAAGAGACAGAAGAGGAAAGGAGAGTGGGAGGGACGCTGTGAGCCGTGGCTAGGAAAAGCGAGATGGGAAAGTACCGGTCAGCCAGGAAGCCACGTGGCACGACAGAGATTAATAGAAATGGGTTGAGTTATAAGAGCTAGCTAGCAAGAAGCCTGCCATAGGCCACACCGTTTGTAATTAATATAAGCCTCTGGGTAATTATTTTATAAATGGCTGCAGGACCGCAGGCAGGAGAGATCCGTCTGGACCTTGAGCCCGGGCAGGACCGGAGAAATATCCGGCTACAATTCATGATTCGGGCTTTTGGTCAGCAAGCTA